TATTATACATTATATATTATACATTATATATTATATATTACATATATATTATATATTATATATATTGTATGTTATATATTAATATGTCATATATTACGTACTGTATATAAGTATACCTACATATGCTCAACCACAGGTTAGTTTATATCGGTGAATAGTTAATAATAAGAAAGCCAAATGACCTGATTTTTTGTCCCTTTTCTGCGCACTTTTTTTTGCATTATCGGCTTCAAATAAAGAGAGCGATTAATGAGCGTACTAAAACTATTTCGTGTGTCTAAAAATGAGGCCCATTTTTTGAAAAACTAGATTTAAAAAACTTTACTTGTCAACTATATAACAACAGCAACAGCGACAACAATAACAACAAAAGCAACAATCAACAACAACTACGACGGTAACAAAATAAATCCACCACTTACACCACAGCCGTTTTAATTTTGTCAAAAAATTTTCGCCTTTCTTAAAAATACCGAAACAACTATTAACATTGCCGCTGAAATGCTCACAATACGCCATCAAATATCATCAAACACTAACGCTGGTTATTATCGGCATTGTATCAGCACTGATCAAGGAAAACAGCAAAACAGTAGCCGGCCAATTGACAATTGTCCACATCAAACAAAAAAATTTCGTCCGACCTTAATCATCAAGACGTATCCAGAGTACAACGTTGGCTTTATGATATCCCATAAAACTAACAACTTCCTTTGCTCTGTTCCATTGGCTCCGCTTATTAACCCGCCGAAATTCATTAAACAACCCTCAAACCGCGTACAATGATTTGCTCTTCTGCGCCTCAATGCGATAGGGGCGTGAGTACCTCAGTCACTACCGACCACAACAGTTTAGTGCCAAAAACCTGCTGCTCAATGGTACCAGTCGCCGTTATCTGAAAGTTGACCCTGCTTCCCCCTCATCTTCTCATCCTCATCCAAACATTTCTTAAAACCTATTTAACAAACAGCATAAAAATAGCAAAACTTCGAACGAGTGAGTCAACAACTATGCGATGTAACCCTATAACAAATGTATTGTCCAACATCTGCCACGAAGAAAAAAATTTTGAATTGTTTCAACTCCGTAACTACACTGAAGAAAATTTATTTTTATGAACAAAAACAACTAAAGACAATGAAAAAGGCAGAAACACCCAAATTACCAATATTCAAATCAGAAACATCAAAGCTCGTGAAAACCTAAGCAAACAAAGGATATGCAAGAACAAATTCACTCACACTTTTTACAAATACTGCCGATTATTATTTAGATACGTCACCAAAAATGAGTTCACAAAATCTCGTAAGATGCGTTTTATACATAACAAAACAATATTCCTCGACAAAACGTTACTCTTTTACACCATTTATTTCATTATTATTTTTTTTTT